TTGAAAATATTTTGAAAAGGGTTGCCACCTGCTTTAAAAGCCGAATTTAGTTATATGCAGTATTAAACTATGGGTGTTAAACGAAAGAGTGCTAAGAAATCTTCAGTTTAAACATCAAAATATTGTTTGGTGGTTTGAAGAGAGTTGCCAGCTGTTGAAAATTTTAAATTTAAATGAATTATTAAGTTAAATAAATTACTAAAAGAGGTGATTCAATCGTTCATGGGTTGGAGACGGATTTATATCTGAACTGTTTAGGAGGGTTTCCAGGTGATAAAAAAATTAAATTCAATAATTATTAAGGTAATTAAATTATGTATCAAAGTATCAGACGAAAGAGCTTTAAAAATTTTAGTTTGAAAATACTTCGCAGAAGGTTGCCACCTGTTTGAAAAGCCTAATTTATTTAGCTTTTACAGAATTTTAAGGTCTTGGAGAACTGGGTTCTTTGTTATGGTCATCAGATCTTTAATGTGAAGGTCCTCAGATCAGCACCGTCATTCTAAATGTGCATTAAGGTTTTAATTCTTAAAGTTAGGACCTTTTTAGTGGCGCACGGTGGTTTGAATTTTGTGGAAATGAAATACCGGTGCCATGTGAGACCTCTCTTCGTTCAAAAAGGGATTGTGAATGGTGTTGCCATCTGTTTAAAATGTTAAGCTCAATTTTGGCGTCTTAACGCTAGTTTTATCTAATACGTCAACGTAATTCTACAACTGTATAAAAATAACTTTGTTTTCAGATTCCAATATGTCTACTACTAATGATTTATCAAGGTTGCAGTTGTTTCAAATAATAAAGAATGTTTTGAAGGATGACATCCAAGGCGAATTTATATAAGGTGGTGTTACTAGCTCTGCTGATTTTGTGTATGTGTTTCGCCGCACGGCTTCTGATATCAAATTGAAAAATTTTGGTTGAATTTCTACACACACTCTTACAAGAGTTTGACAGTTTATGCCGCCTAAGCAAAAACAAAATACGTGTAAATTTTTGTTTTTGTACTCCTGCTATCACCTTATATTAATTCGCCTTGATGACATCAGAGTGATTTATGAAAGGATCGAAAAATTTTTGTCCGAAAACCGAAATGCGACTTATCATTTATCAGAAGACGTGAAACGGCAAATATCAGATTTGGTGTGTAAGATGAAAACAATATGGGATTTAAGTAATAGGACTGAAGAAAAATTAAAAAAAAACCCATTGGTTAAGTAAGACTGTTAATTTGGAAAAAGGTGATAAAAAAGATCCGAAAAAAATTTATCCGCAAGTAGAAAATATTGAAAAGGATTGTAAAGTAGGTCGGCCAGAATTGAGTTTTTCAGAATCATCAGAACGAACAAAGCGCAGAAAAACCAAATATCTACGAGCTACTGTTTCGACTAAAGAACTGTTATACTCAACAAGTAAATTACGATCTGAAGGTAAAACAGATTTTGCAAAAGTGGTGCGAGATATCTCGGAAGGAAGTCCAACCAAAGCTAAAAAATACAGAAAACCACTGGAGTATGGAAATTTAAATTTACCATTCACGAACGACGAGACCTTGTCACTTTTTATTGAACTTGGGTTATCTCAAGGCAAATATCAGCAGTTGCGTAATGCACATCTACAAAAAAAATTAAAAATGCTGCCATCCTATAAAAATATACAAAAAGCATAATTACAATGCTATCCGGCTGTAGGTCTTCGTTTCAATGAATATGAAGCATCAGTTACATTGCATTCATTATTAGTTCACACAACTAATCGTACTATTTTGTATCAAATGGAAGTTGTTCTATGTTTATCTGAAAAAATACAAGAAAATTTGATCTTAATCGTTAAGTGGGGATGTGATGGTAGTTCTGGACACAGTGACTACAAGCATAAAGCGGATGATGGAATCGAAGTAAGTGACGAAAATATTTTTTTCCCCTCCCTCCTCCCCCTACAGCTTGTATACAGAGACTCTGAAACGAAGGAAATAACTGTAGTTTGGAAAAATCCTAGGCCATCCTCACCAAGATGTTGTCGTCCTATGGCAATTCAATGTGCAAAAGAGTCCCTGGACTTGACTAAAAAAACAGTAAATGACGTGGAAGACCAGATAAAGAATTTAACACCATTTTAAACTACTGTTGATGGACAACTCGTGAGTGTAAAGTATGATCTTACTTTATCAATGATAGATAGTGCAATTCATTAACTGACACAATGTCTGCAATGCGTTGTTATCTATGCAACTGTACTTCAAAGACTTCTAATGATATAGATGAAATGCTACAAAAAAAAGTTAATACAGACAACTTGAAATTTGGCTTATCGTCTTTACATTGTTGGATTAGATGCTTCGAATTTTTATTGCATTTATCTTACAAATTACGAATTCAAAAATGGCAAGCACGAACTGCACAGGAAAAATAGTCGGTCGCGAATAGGAAAAAATCAATACAAGCTGCCTTTAAAACAGAACTGGGCCTCAATGTTGATAAGCCGAAAGCTGGAAGTGCCACCTCAAACGATGGTAATACAGCTCGTAATTTTTTTTTTAAATTTCGACAATCTGCGAAAATAACTGGCATCGATGAAGATATCATATATTCTTTTTATATTATGTTGCAAGCCATCTCAAGTGGTCATGAAATAATGCAGATAATTTTCGCAAATACACTGTTAAATTAGCTAAAAAAATTTTACAAACTGACAAGTGGTACTACATGCCTACTTTAGTAGGCCTGCAATAAGTTTTATTCCATCTATCGCCTCAGCTTTGCGAGAAAGAATTACAGACGAAAGACAATGGAGGACGATTTTTAGTAGCCTCGGATCCTAATATTTCGAGTTGCCGAAAATTGCCAAGTAAGCCGCTGAAATCTCTTTCTGCAGAAACTATTGATTTATTATCGTCTCCATCTGTTGGTAGAGAAGAAACAGAGCAAGAAAGTGCAGACAATAGCTCAGCGCCAACGTCTGAGTCGGAAACAGATATTGATGTCAATGACCTTGAGGACAACGGAAGTTTCTTCATGTAATATTATTTTTTAATGTACTTTCGTCCCTGCGATATTATCATATTATACTGTAATTCTATCTCTTAATTCATGTGTTATGTATACTTCTTAATTGTAATAAAAATTTTTGTGATAACATCAAAATTGGTTTTCATTTCTTTGATTTAAGTTAAAAGCCCTGAGTTATGTGAGGTGGGCTCGCTTGGGACTTAAAAAGTTCTGGGTGATGCCATATAGCATTTACCATTTTAAATTATGTAATTATGACATGAAATTTGTAATCAGCGACCCCAAAAACCTCGAAAACGATATGTAACTTGAGTATGCCCAATAATACATGATATTTTACCCTAGGGGGTGGTCGATAAGGGGTGAAGGGGGTGAGTTTTCTTACATTTAATACAAAATTTGTAATCAGCGACCCCAAAAACCCCCAAGGTTCGATTTTCGAGTGAATTACTCAAATTTTCGAATTTTGGCCAGCTTTTTGGCAATCGGCCGCACTGCGTGTCGCCCCGCCAAAAGAACTTAAATATTGCGTCTAAATATATGCACTAATTACATACGCTGCAGCGGAAATGGACGACACGCCATTTCTTTAAATGAAATTAACTGCTGCTATTAGTATGTATGTACATACAGTGCCGAACAGAAGTATTGGCACAGTGAATTTTTCGCAATATAGGCAAAGTTATTTATTATAATTTATCTTCGATAATTTTTTATAAAAATATGGTTCATTCTACACCAGAAAACATAATAATAAAATCTCTAAACTTTGTGCAAAACTCAGGAAAATTCATTAAATTTGCACACTAATCTGCAACTTTTTATTCAGATTTTCTAGAAAAATCCTAAGTATGCAGTTTTATAGCCCATTCAAATTTAGTATAACAAAGTGCAAGTTTGAAGTCGCTAGAAAATCGCATTGATTTTTGGTAATTTTTTTTCACGCAAGTTCTTCCATACAAAGTAATTCGACAATTATTTTTTGTATGGACAAAATGAGCAACACCTTCCAATAAAAAAATTGCCAAAAATCAACGCGATTTTCTAGCAACTTTAAACTTGCACTTTGTTATACTAAATTTGAATGGGCTATAAAACTGCATACTTAGGATTTTTCTAGAAAATCTGAATAAAAAGTTGCAAATTAGTGTGCAAATTTAATGAATTTTCCTGAGTTTTGCACAAAGTTTAGAGTTTTTATTATTACGTTTTCTGGTGTAGAATGAACTATATTTTTATAAAAAATTATCGAAAATAAATTAGAATAAAAACCTTTGCATATATAGCGAAAAATTCACTGTGCCAATACTTTTGTTCGTCACTGTATGTATGTTTATACTAAACGTGAGGAAACATTTTGCTTGCATAGTCTTCTGTTCCCTTTTCACCGCAGGTTTAATTATTTTAATATCTATTTCAAAATTTTATACAAACAAGACTAAAAAGTATAAAATAAATAAAATAAAAAACTTTTTAATATACAACGCTTTTATAAATGGACTAAAATTTAGAAAATAAAATTTCTCAGTCCTATAGACTTTGTATTGATAACTTTTGATATTGTAATTTTACCAAAAGTCATTATAATCCATTTATGAAATTGAAAATGAAAAGCGTGGGGCGCATGTAATATACCTCTACTGATATGAAGGGTAATATAGTTATGAATGTGGATATATGAATAACGACCGCTTTAAATCGATCTCAAATTAGTACTTTCTCTGTAGAAATGTTAGGTCTATGTTATGTAGTTTGACTATTGTCAATTAAATCTAATGCTTTGTATTGCATATGCTCCATGTTTTTCGTTTTCAATCTCGTAAATGGTATATAATGACTTTTGCTAAAATTTCAATGTCAAAAGTTATCAGAACAAATTCTATGGGACTGAGAAATATTATTTTCTAATTTTTGATCCATTTATAAAAGCATTGTGTATGAAAAAGGTTCTTTTTTATTTATTGATTTAATAATAATAATTTTTAATTCCTTTAGAAAAAACCATAAATTTGCTATTTAGGGCAGCACGCGAAAGCAAATCTATGGACCTGACGCATACAGCAACAGAGGCGACTACAGATATTCCACTTTGGAGGCAGGTTGTGCTCCGTGGAAATGGCGAAATTTCATCAAGCAATGTAACGGATTTAATAGTTGATATTTCCTTGGAGAGCCGGAAATCAAAGTGCTGCCATCGTGATGCTTATGTTCGCAGTGATTGTTGCAATTGTTCTCAACCGTTGTGTGAATTCTGTGGTCACTCATGTGCTGAATGTGGCATATTCTTATGCGATAGTTGCGTTTCATTGTTGTAAGTTGGTTGAATTTCTTAAGTTAGAATACAATTTTAATAACTTCTATTTTTACAGTGGATGCGGCAATGTCGAAAGACCCATATGTGAAAAGTGCACCTTATTTCAGAACTTATAAAATATTTTATACGTACGTATTTGTGTAGTTAAGTGGTCCGAATAATATTAAGGCAATTCACCTACACGAGTAAATGCCTCCTTACCACGTAAACCTCGTAAACTTAGTTAAGTACTAAAAGTTGAAAATAATAGAATTTTGAAGTACCAGCAAAGTTGAGTTAAAAAAAGCTACAGCAGAAACTGTTAAAAAAAAAAATAAATATATTCCGGCCGGTTCTGCAATTCACTTTCGAGTGAATTTGAGTAAAGTGCGCTTTGAATTCAAATTGGCAGGGGTTGAAATTCACTCGCAAGTGAATTGCAGAACCTGCCCGATTTTCGCAATCAAAATTTTCGCGGCAACCACAAAAACGCAGTTGTCAATACAGCAACTCTGTTGCCAACTTTAAGGGGCCAGTTGCCATCTGAAATACAATTTCAGCCATCCATAATCGACCCCGCTTATTTACGAGGTTTACGCTGTTACGAGACATTTCCGTATTTAGATGAATACCCGTATTGTTTTTCTCTATATATTGTAATACCTGCGAGAGCTTTACGTCATATTTATAATTTTCTTGTACGAATTAACTTAATAAATTTTTAGTTGTTTATGTGCTTAAAAATCCCAGTATTCTATTCTAATTTCAATTTTTAATTTGTTAGATTTATGTCTCCTTCAACGACAAATTTGGAAGGGAATATACATGCAGTCAGCGTCAAAAATATGAATACCCTGACGTTTCATTATTAGTATTTTCCATATAATTTTTTTTTTATAAAAATATAGTTAGTTCAACAGCAAAAACCAGCAGAATCGATTATTTTTCAATTTCATATAGAAATCGAGAAAATTCAAGAAATAGCAAACAATTTTCAACTTTTCAATTTGATTTCTTAAAAAAAATTGGAGCTTGCAGCTTTGTAGCCCCATTTTAGTAAAATAATGTGCAAGTCTCAAGTCTATAAAATTTACCGTTGATTTTTGAGATTTTTTGTCGAGGGTTTTGCGCATTGTCAAAAAAAATCTCTACGGTAATTTTTAGTGACTTGAAACTTGAACCTTATTGAGCTAAAATTTAATTGCCTACAAAACTCCACACTAAAATTTTTTTTAAGAAATCGAATTGAAAAGTCGAAAATTTTTTGGTATATCTTGAATTTTCTATATGAAATTGGAAAAATTTATTATGCTGGTTTTTACTGTAGAATGAATTATATTTTAATAAAAAAATGTAAAAATTGAAATGGAAAAAGTAAATAAAGAAAATCGTCAAAACCTCAGGGTATTAATATTTTTGACGCTGTGTTATTCAGGGTTTCCAAGGTTAATTTTAACGATCATGCTTATTTCAATGTATAAAGCTAAGTACGGACCTGTTAAAAAAACGGTCAAGAAATAAATTAATACTAGTGAACCCGCACGGCGTTAAAACGCCCAAGACAGGATTTCCAAAACCTACAAACTATTCCAAATGTTATTCAGGGTTTAAGCGATACGAGTGTCATATTTCTTCTTAATTTGTGCAACCGTTTCTCATAGTCGGTTTTTAATATTATCAAATTTTAGATCACCCAGTACCGATAAAAAAGTTTCTTATTTCAAAAAATAAAATCTTATCGAACATCTACAGGCCAAGGTCTTTATTTTGACCTTTCATATTTCAGAAATAGACAGGGAGGTTATACAATTTATTTCCGAGTAAACTTCTACAAAGCTCAATTTTCAAGCCCCTTTCGATTGATATCCATCCTTTAAAATTTCATTTAACCTATTAAATAATTTGAATGCAGCTTGTAAAATACGTGGCAACCCTCCTAAATATATTTTTGATTTTTTTTTAGATAATTAGAATATAATTTTTAAAGTTGGCAAATCTGCAGTCCAACCAAGCCATTTAATTTGACACCGCATTTTGGACAATTGAACGAACGGTGCGGATATGATGGCATTGATTATTAAATAATGTGAATTCAATTGTTCTACAGGTGGAAATCGTAACATCCGTTCACGGATCGAAAATCATACGAAAGAAATTTACGTGAGACGTCAGGCTGTATAAGCTGGGCTCGAATCGTCACATACGATATCGTACTACTCGTCACGTAAAAACACATTTTTCGGATTATGACATACGTGAACGTACTCTTTGTCCCATTTTGTTTATACTGCCTGACGTATCACGTAATTTTCTTTCGTATCGTTTTCGATCCATGAACGGATGTTACGATTCGAGCCCTGAATGTGACAAAGAGTACCTTCACGTATGTCATAATCCGAAAAGTGTGTTTTTACGTGACGAGTAATACGATATCGAATTTGACACCATATTTGTGAAAATCAAGCGAACGGTGCAGATATTTTGTCCTAGACAAAAAATCCCTTCGCGTATTATATCTGTGTTCGTATGGAACTGTAGCTTCTGTCGAAAGGCTGGCTTTAGTATAATGCGGCATTCGCAGCATATAATTGCGAATGACTCACTGGCGCCGAACCGTTATAGAACTTTTGGCAAATAAACATACAGAAATAGTTCCGATACTAGCAAGTCAATATTCTTATTAAGTCTCATCAAAAAGTTCCTTGTCGATTCCATTCGAACACGAATATATATACATAGATTATCATGCAGGTTCTGCAACTCACCTCCGAGTGAATTTCAATCAAATGCGCTTTGAATTCAAATTGGCAGGGGTTGAAATTCACTCGGAAGTGAATTGCAGAACCTGCAGGCATTTGGTGTATGGAGTTTTGACATCTGATATTTTACAGCTTGCCGTCTCACTTTTTCTTCCGAAATGGAAGTGGCATATATTTCTGTTGAAAACAAGAGTACCGTGTACTCTTCACAAACAAACTTTAGCAAACCATAGTAGAAAGCGTAGCAAATTTCTTAAGAGCTTCGTACTGCTTAAGAAAATTTGGCTCAATACATTTTTCTTGACCATTTTTTTGGCGTTCTCTTATTCGTCGAAAATTTTACAAAATTTTTTTATTAACCCGTAACTTTAATTACATTCCTGCATGGAAACAAAAATTTTATACCAATGGTTTGTCTCTACGGGAAGGCATTGGTGTTCTTGAAAAGATTAAAAACAATTTATCTCAAATAAAGAATAACGAATATTTAAAAAAATTAAAACGACCAGCACAGATCTCTAGTATTTGAGAATATCAAGCAACACTTGATTGTCCATTGTAATTTTTCAATCCTTAAAATAAACTGAATAAAAAACATAAACTGTACACTAAATTTTGCTGTTTTGCGGGCATATTTACTAGTGTCTGACCAAAGCTGGAATTTTAGCCGAAACCGAAGCCGAATACTAGGTACTATTCAATATTCGCCCGAATACCGGAGCCGAACATTAAAATTAAGTTTTACGTCTCAAAAATAATAGGTCTTAGATTTTTTATTTTGTAAAAAACATATATATATTTTTTTTAATAAAAGGAACGCCTTACCAACATACATACATAGTCATACATACATAAGACTGCATCACTCCCCATACAAAAAAAAAATCGGTACTATTCTTCCATTGGAATTATAAAATCTATTATATTTTAAGACGTCCACCAAAATATTTCGAAAAAATATTGAGATTTAAGTGAGCTGGACCAATTTCAAAATACCTCCAAAAAATAGATTCTTAAAAATTTTTTTGAAAAAATCCCCTCAAATGACAAAACGGGTTAAGCTTAAAAAATTTGCATAAAAATATTAAAAAAAAATTTAAAAAATCGTATGAAGATTTTTTATGCTGTTTTTTAACTTTTTTCAAAGTTTGGTATAAGAAAAACTTGAATAACTGAGCCTAAACTCTTCTGATTTAGACTTAAGAGCTGTCGGTGGAAATGTATTTTCTCACGCTTTTTATTTCTTTGCTAATAAACTCATTCAAAGGATGAAAGAGAAAGGTAGGATGAACGAACGTCATTCAAAGATGAATTAAGATGTGTTGGTATTTGAAAAAATAAAATTTGGACACGAATGATTTTTTTTTGACAGAAATAAAAACAGTGTGAAAATACCTTTCTACTGAGATCCCATAAGTCTGAATCAGAATAGTTTTAGCCCAGTTATTCAAGTTTTTCGTAAATCAAACTTTGAAAGAAGTAAAAAAACAGCATCATAAATCTCATTCTTACGATTCCGTTGAAAAGATTTTTAAATATTTTTATGCAGATTTTTTAAGCTTAATCTGTTTTGTCATCTGAGGGGACTTTTTTCAAAAAGTTCTTTACGAAACTACTTTTATTCATAAAAAACTTCATTTTTGGAGGTATTTTCAAATCGGTCCAGCTCACTTAAATCTTAATATTTTTCCCAAATATTTTGGTGAACGTCTTAAAATGTAATAAATTTTGTAATGCCGGCGGAAAAACCGCAACTTTTTTTGGTGATGGAGTCTAACATACATACGTCAGGCAGTATAAGCAGGGCTCGAATCGTAACATCCGTTCACGGATCGAAAACCATACCAAAGAAAATTACGTGATACCGTCCGTCGTATAAGCTGGGCTCGAATCGTCACATACGATATCGTATTACTCGTCACGTAAAAACACATTTTTCGGATTATGACATACGTGAACGTACTCTATCCCATTCAGTTTATACGTTGTAACGAAGCGTTTTGGTAACCCCGACGCTTCTTCTACAATGCTGGGGTATACTCGCCGTGTCCAGGGTTCGTTACAATAAGTTTGTAGTTTCGGAGCTCTTTATTATTTAAACTTTACTTTACTTTATTATTTAAACTTCCTTAACTTCTATAAAGAACATATAACAAATAACAACTGCAAAAATTCGGTGGCGTCACTTGCAGTGGCTGGGTAACGGCTTCTTGTTCCGTTATGGGCCCGTTAGTCTGTAGTGGCGTGGCTTCAGTTCTGATGGGAAACGCTCTGCTGGCGCCGCTGAGTGGCGCGCTACTAACGTCGGTAAGTGGTGCTCTGGCCGCGTCGGTATATAGCGCTTTTGCAATGTGAGTTGCGCTCTGGTCGCGCCGGGGAGAGGCGCTATAACACAGTCGGTGGGTAGCGCTCTGGGGACGCCGGTATGTGGCGCTCTCGCAATGTCGGAGAGTAGCGCTCTGTCGTGTCTGTGTGTGGCGCTCTGGTGGCGTTGGAGACCAGCGGCCTTGATGGCGCTCGGCTGGCGGCGGTAGGTAGCGCTCTTGTTGGCGTCACTCGGCTGACGGCGGTAAGTGGCGCTCTTGTTGGCCCTGCTGACGTCGTTCTGTTGATGGCGGACGAGCGGATGTCGTCCGTACGCGACTTCATGGTAGGCTGCGGTGATCAAAGCCGGTTTGGTGCTCCCTACTTCCGAGCGGTGATGTCTTGTGGTGTGATCAACGACGCACAAGCAATCCCCCCGTTCGGTCGTAGTTATTTAGCTCCTTACTCGTACTTACGGCTCCCTACTACTGAGTGGTGTGTCTTGTGGACGCACAAGCAATCGTTCCATTCAGTCGTAGCCGTTCAAACGCGACCACAGCTCCGTCCTGACTGACTGTTGAGCGGCTGTGTTCTATGTTTAATAGGCTGTGTGCTCACGATTGAGAGAATACAAAGGTTGCGCCGATCTCGGTACCGCTATTTTTCTCTTAAC